CGTTGATGTCGTGCATTACTGCATGAAAACCCCATTAGAAGTGTTCTTATTTTAACTGGTCCTTACAGTATAGGACGCTAGGTCTAGTGGTAGACAACTCGAAAGCTGGTTCAAAGGTTTTATCAGTCCGGTTCTCGAATGGTAGTGACGTACTGAGCCTACCCAGCTCTGAAGGGTACTTGGCCCAAATCAGGGACAGTAAGGCGGCTGGGCACCGTGCTAACCGGACTATCCGACTCTATAGCGGTATCGGAAAATCAGGCGAGCTAAACTGCTACCGTCCTATGAATCCTATGGTCTCAAAGGATAGTTTACATTTTTAAATGGCCAGCTCACTCCTCTCGCCCCTCTACCCACCAGAACATGTTTCCGCTGTGTATTCTATGTAAGGACAACTTAAGAAACTGTTGTTTTCCTTTCCTTAAACTTGGCAGGTGAAAACTTTATCTGGCCATGTGGTTGTAGCTTAACAGGCCCCCATTGTACCGGCCCATTCTGGTTCACCTAGTTCAAGTTTATTGCTAATAAATTATATTTGGCTAATTTATGGTGATCGTAGAACACGGCTATTTAAATATACGAGCCGGCCCGCGGCATAACATACGCCGCTATTTAGTTGTTTCTAATTTTCAATAATTCATAATTTGTGAATTCGACAGTACCAACGCTGACACTGAAAATATTTCTTTAAAACACTATAAGTAGCTCGTTAAGGACCATAACCCCCCCCTCCCCCCCCCCCCCCCTACGTTTAAAATCGTTGGCTCTGCTTTTAAACATTTAGAGCAGGGGTCTCCAAACTATGGCCCGCGGGCCGGATGCGGCCCGCGAGGTCCTCTCGTCCGGCCCGCGGAGATCTTTTTGTCCAAGGAAAAAACGTTTCTTGGTGATGGCTGAGGAACTTTGCTTAGAAAAATCAGACATGACTGGAAGAAAATGGCCCCCGAACTGAAATTCGATAGTTAATGCGGCCCTCGGGCTGAAAAGTTTGGAGACCCCTGATTTAGAGTGAACACAGCTCACTAAAACCATGTAGGGGTGGGTAGGTAGGGAGAGCGTTTGCAGCTTGTTTTCTAACGGCTCGAAGAAGAGAATTATATATATAGATGTAAGTAGGTGGGGTACAGCTAATTGAAATAAACGAAAGTAGGACACGGTTATTTAAATAAACGTAAGTAGAGTACAACTATTTAAACAAATGCAAGTAGGGTATAGCTATTTAAATAAACATTAGGATATAAATGAAATTAAGTGTAGATTCTTTAGTCAGATGATATGGGCCGTAGTGTGGAAAAACCCGCTCCCCAAAAAATTAAGATGCAAAAATATATTATGTCGACATTGTTTACATTTAAATAACTCAATTTTAGAAAAAAAAACACGCGTCTTAAAATGCACGATTGGTAACACGTTGATGAAAGCGACAGAAAATGTTGCGTCAGTTTGGCGCGTAGGACTAGATCGCAGCAACGCTCGACAGGTACGCTAGTAAAAGGTAGCTGTACAGTTAAGTTACAACTAAAGGTAATAGATGTACAGTTAATCTATTATATAAAAGGTAGTTGTAAAGACAGTATACGGTAGTAGATGCATACAACAGTCGTAGTTGTAAAGTTATTTACAACAAAGGTAGAACTTCTAGAATTAAGCTAAAATCAAAGGGTAAAACATGGAAAAACCCGAAAAAAAATGTTACTTTTCCTTCCCCAGAAGTCTAGCACAATGTATCCAAACTTAAGCATAAGTTATGAAGAAGGTGTAATCAAACTTCAGACTGAGTTAAAATTCGAGCCAACAAAGATCGCTGGACTATTTTAAGCCACAGTTCAAGCACTTGGCCCTATCGTAATACCGGAGTGTTTATCTTTAAACAAGATACTAATGGCGCTGTATCACTTCGCCGCTTCCATCAAAGGGGACGTTACCAGAGTTCTCAAATCATCTAACCTTTTATTTCCTAATTTCTGGCAGTAAGTCTCCTCGCTACTTACTGTATTGTGTGGTTTTGATTATATTTTGTCATAATTCTTTTTCAAAGAAACTTAACTTTATAAAAGAATAATTATTCCAATGGGAATAGCACCAGTTATCACTAATGCAAATATACCTGGTCGAATCATAGAGTGTTTGGCTGCTAGCCTGAAGGTCTCGAGTTCGGATCTCGGTTCGAACTTGTGACTATAATGCGTCCCTAAGTCTACCCAGTTCATGTAAAGGCGGCTGGGCATAGTGCTGACCACACATCCCATTATATACAGAGGTCAAGAAACATAATGAACTCTTCTTTATCTGCCCATTAGGTCAAATGAGACATTATTACGTATTTTAAAAGCCTATTCTCTTCCCCATCTTCGTTCTTTATTGTAATATTACAGCGGAATCCCTCTAATGCAATAACGTACTACGCGCCAACAAATGGATCGTTGACTATCCTGCTTATCTTTCTGGATTTGCTTCCATAGTCTTTGTCCACCCGAGTATAATCTGCAAGACAGCAGTTGTTTTAATTTGAACGTTTTATCTGTTGCTGTCCCTAGCTAACGAAACTCATCTGCACTGGTTTCGAACTCGAGACTTTTGGAGTTGGCAATCCTTCGCTCTCCAGCCCGACCACCCCGTCAAGGAAAACCCTATTTAAAACATCTTATTAATCCGAGATTCATGCACTTGTTTAGAAAACCTCCTAAGCTTGAGAAACAAACGAGCCTGATCTTTCGAAAGGGAGTCTATAGCACTAGTTAATCTCAAATCAGCGATTTGCTTCATGGGTTTCCAGGTCAAGTAGACGAAGGAGAGACAGAGAAGGACATAGAGAAAGACAGAAAGCGAGTGAGAGAAATAGAGTAGGGGTTAAGATGCAATCGATCACTAATGATTATTTGAAAGGATTTCACAATTCAATTCTAGACCAGTTTTCACACTGATGATAATTGCAATCATCGATCTCTGACTGCAACAATAGGTTCACCTCAACACTTCACAAGGCAACAATATCGATAAACAATATCGGATATAGAACAAAGTTGCTTGAACAGATTCAAGTAGGTTTATTCTGAGCCCCATGATACGATATATATATATATATATATATATATATATATATATATATATATATATATATATATATATATATATATATATATATATATATATGTTTATATGTATGTATTACTACATATTTAACGCCCCAGATTTGTAAGATTCAAGTTACAAACTCCCAGCCTGCCAAACAATGTCATAAAAGTACAAATGTCTAACAATCCAGATATAAATATTTCCACTCCGTCTGATTAAGTAAAAATAATTGCGTGGTTGATCATTTGGTGTTACATTTTTCATGATATTATTCATCTTTCGTTTTCCATTCCTTTGTAAGTTGTCATGGTTCTGTTTGTTCTTTATTAATAAAGTTAAATAAAGTAATGTACGTGTTTCATGTTTATGTTAACTTGAGAAGTGGATTCGCTGGACCTGTTTCTGTAAGATCACAAAACAGCGCGAACGTACTAGAAACTCTACACAAATAAGACCAAAACGTTAAAAAGTACGAATACGCGTGGGCGGAGGACATCAAACTAGGGCACTATTTTGAAAAGAAAAATGTTAATAGATTTTTCAAAATCTTCATAATCCTCCTTTCCTCCTACTAATCCCACTTCACATTTTCACCCAAAATACCTCGACGATTTCAACCACGGCACTGTGCCGTTCTTTCAACGTGGTTTAGACAGTGATTTCGGAAGGGGTTTAAAAGTAACATGGGAGACTACTGGATAATGAGTTCCAAATACGGACACCTTGAGAATTCCGTTGAAATTGGGTTTAAAGTCATGTACTCTAATGTAATCTGCACAAACATATTCACTACTATATATATATATATATATATATATATATATATATATATATATATATATATATATATATATATATATATATATATATATCAGAGACTTTAAGTTTTACTCTTTCAATTAATTGAACCGCAATTATTCATCAATATCATTTATTTTCAATTCATTTTTTTCCGCCAATGAATCCAATTTTTTTTTCACCTGGGACCATGTCATTCCATCATCCCCCATCTCACTTTCTAGACTGATAATCTCCGGGTCTTGTCTTATCCTTTTTCTGCCAATCTTCCGTTGTGTGATTAACGTGGGATTATCTAAAGAAGTCTGGTGCCCACCCCACTCATTTAACAGTATTTCTTTCCAAACTGTCGCTATATCTAGAGATCCCAGATTATCGGGTGTTTGAGATTGTGTATCTATCATAAGCATCTATCTACAACACTGCAGCTTATCCCTTGATGTATGTGCCACGTTCCATGTTTCTGAGTCTTATAGCCCTATAGATGTTAAAGATTTGTGTTGGAGGTTCTGTGTCTTATAGCCTATACATGTGCCAAGTTCCATGTTTATAGACTTATAGATGTTAAAGATTTGTGTTGGAGGTTCTGTGTCTTATAGCCTATACATGTGCCAAGTTCCGTGTTTATAGACTTATAGATGTTAAAGATTTGTGTTGGAGATTCTGTGTCTTATAGCCTATACATGTGCCAAGTTCCGTGTTTATAGACTTATAGGTATTAAAGATTTGTGTTAGAGATTCTCTGTCTTATAGCCTAAACATGTGCAAAGTTACATGTTTTTGAGCCTTATAGAATTTAAAGATTTTTGTTAGATATTCTGAGTCTTTTGCCCCTTCACAGTGCCTGTTAAATGCGTGTCTTACTTTCCTAATGTATGCTTGCATGTCCTTTTTCAGTAGTACCCGAATCTACCTAGACAATCCGTTGTGCTGAGCAAGTTTATACTTTTGGTAATTGGTTTGATTAATGGGTAATTAGCCCTAGCAGTATGAAGACAGCTCCGTTGGTAGGTGAATCACGACAACCCCTGGGTCTGGTACCCCCCCCCCCCATGATGATCAGGGGTTGAGAGGTATCATTTTTAAAACTATGTTTCTCTTTGACTAATAACCGTATTTTTCCTCAGGATATAACCAAAGATGGGTGAAAACAGAATCAACGATTTAAAGTTATTACAAGAAAAAGCACCATGGATCCATTCAGGATTCAGCAAGCTGACAAATAGATTGGAAACTAAATAAGGTGAGACATATATAACGTGTGAATGTAATACAGTTAGTCGTATGTACATTGGATGCTAGGATCAACTGTACACGCTGATAAAGTAGACTATTCTACATACATTACTTTCATCATACATGTTGAACTAATCACATTGTAACGTGGCTATAGGAAGGATACATTTCTGGTAACAGTAAACATAAGACAAGAAGATAAACGCTGTAGACAGAAGAATCAAAGCGCCCTAGACTAAGCTGGTGTTTCTTTGAACAATTTAAGATGATGTTGTGATGAGGGATCTGTATAAACAAAAAATAATTGTATATGCTTAGGTGGATTGTAAATTTGTAATCAGGTGGAAAATATGACTAATTTAACGACAAGTAAAAGGGAGCTTGTAAATCCACATCCACATCCCGTGTAAAAAGGAGACTTGGTTGTTATGGTTGTTAAAATTCGAAAAAAAAAGTCTCGAGTTAGAACTCGATCCCTTCCAACACTAAAAATTAAGAACTAAGAAGAAGAAGAAATCCACATATATCCCCACATCCCCTGTAAAAAAGGGACTTTTAAATCCACATATATCCCTATATTCCCTGTTATTTTGTCTCACTGTGTACCCCTGACCCGTTATCTGTCAAATTTAGCGCAGATATAATATGATTTACTGCAGATTTTGCCACTTCTTCTAATGCTATCAGATGGCTATCAAACTTACAAATTGATTTAATTTGATTTTTAATTTCGTTAAGCTGTCCACTTTGTAAATAAGGCTTAAAATCATGCTGTGATAATTTCAAACAACCCCTCCCGTCACAAATCCTTGACCCTATCTCGCCCCCCCCCCCTCCCCAAACGTCACCCACACGAAACTAATCCACGCAGAACCCACACGCAACAGCTGAGCTGGATACATAACCCTGTCCAGATCCTAAATAAATCGACACACAACCTCATCCCTAATATGTTAAAATTATAATTTATTTTCCCGTTTCCGATATTTTAACAACTTCTGGCAAATCCTGTCTGTTGACAAATGTCGAATCAGGAAAAGAAAACGAATGACTGGTATCAATTATGTATAATAAGTTTCGGACACTGGTATCCGCGTTAGGGGCCTTGCACATCAGATCGAGATAAATGAATTGTCTTAAATTTCATTTCGGAAATCAGGGTATCTCTTTCAGCTTTGTTTTTGGCTAAGCAAATGCACGCTGATTTCATTTTGAATGATTGATGAAATAAATTATGTACACCGCAGGACAAAAACATCAAACTTGGAATATCATTACGTTTTTGTTTTAAATTACTTTTCTTTATCAGCGAAACTTTTTTTTTGTTTGTAAAATCGGCTAGTTTAAATAATACATGTGAACCATTCTAATGCGTGACAGTTTCCCCAATGGAATCCTAATTGGCCATTTGTTCTGAGCTTAGAAAAAACCACGCGCGCGTGTAGGTTTTTAAATGTGATTGTATATAATGAGATTCAGCGCTTGGAGATGACATGTAGCAGCGCTATCGTGACTTGACTCCGTGATGTTTTATGTCAAGACATGCAGGGCGGTACAGGTACTTACACAAGACATGCAGGGCGGTACAGGTGCTTACACAAGATGTACATGTACTTACACAAGACCTACATGGACGTGCAGGTAATTACACAAGACATGCACGGCGGTACAGGTACTTACACAAGGCATGCAGGGCGGTACAGGTACTTACACAAGACATGCAGGGCGGTACAGGTACTTACACAAGACATGCATGGCGGTACAGGTACTTACACAAGACATGCATGGCGGTACAGGTACTTACACAAGACATGCAGGGCGGTACAGGTACTTACACAAGACATGCAGGGCGGTACAGGTACTTACACAAGACATGCAGGGCGGTACAGGTGCTTACACAAGATGTACATATACTTACACAAGACCTACATGGACGTGCAGGTAATTACACAAGACATGCAGGGCGGTACAGGTACTTACACAAGACATGCAGGGCGGTACAGGTACTTACACAAGACATGCAGGGCGGTACAGGTACTTACACAAGACATGCAGGGCGGTACAGGTACTTACACAAGACATGCAGGGCGGTACAGGTACTTACACAAGACATGCAGGGCGGTACAGGTACTTACACAAGACATGCAGGGCGGTACAGGTACTTACACAAGACATGCAGGGCGGTACAGGTACTTACACAAGACATGCAGGGCGGTACAGGTACTTACACAAGACATGCAGGGCGGTACAGGTACTTACACAAGACATGCAGGGCGGTACAGGTACTTACACAAGACATGCAGGGCGGTACAGGTGCTTACACAAGACGTACATGTACTTACACAAGACGTACATGGACGTGCAGGTACTTACACAAGAAATGCATGGATGTACAAAAGACGTACATGTATGTACACAAGATGTACATCGCTGTACAGGTACATAAACTAGACGTACATAGCGGTACAGGTACTTTGCACAGAGACCTGACGTTTTTATGCTTCATCATTCTAAAAATAACACAACAAAGCTATACTACATGTGCTGTTCTTTGCGTCATGTTTTCTTGCGTAGTTACGATTCATTACGGTGGTGATGCTGTGTAACGAGGACTATACGGTGTAAAAATACAACAAAAGCCGTAGAGTTTGAGTTTGTGTGTGTGTGTGTGGTAGGGTGGGGGGGGTAGAGGGGGGAGATTTTGATCGAAATCCAAATGTAACCAAAATTGATCTGCAGCATTACAAAGGTTGGAATCATACGAAAATATCCACTGTACGACCCTGTATGTAGAAATTTAAAAAATCCAATAGTATTCAAGCGTTGAAAAACTTACCGAAGAGCATAGGGGCAGGTATAAGACAGGCTCCTCTTGAGCTGCGCTACGGCCTGTAACGTCAAGAGTCCATACACAGCCCTCACAACAGCAGCTAAGGTCCTGGGGGCAAATCAAAGCAGTAAAACGTTAATAGTTTTAACATTTGCTCGTGAGCGTCTCACTGTAGTCGACACTCGACAATCTGCAATGGCAACTAGTCCTTATCCTACCATAATACGTTCGCCAATAGCCATTACATTAGCAATGCAATGGTGGTGAAATACTCTAAAACTATCATAATCTAATTAGCGTTGAAGTCAATGGTGAACTTGAAATTTCTATTGAAATTTAGGTTGTTGTCTTGTATGTGTTTGTTTGTAGACAAATCTATTTTTAGCTCGTAATGGATGTGATATTACATGAAGCAATTTCTGACATGAACACCCTTCGTTTTTTTCACTTCACATGCATCATTAAGTAGTTTCCAAATCATTTCTAAACAATTTTGTCATTTGCACGCTCAAGACAGAGCAGAAAATCGACTGCAGTTGCAAGCAAACGCGTACGAATGTAACGATTTCAATGTGTTCAAATACTCGGTACCCCGGATTACACAGCATACTTTAAACACGTTTCGGGAAACTTAAAGTAAAGATTTCAATATGTTCAAATACTCGGTAACAGAGACGTAGCGACCCTTCCCGGCGCCCGGGGACTAACTTTCGATTTGCACCCCTCCCCCCAAACTATTTATAATGCAAAAATGCAGCTAAAATGACATTTTAATTTGTTTTTGCCAACCCATTTTGGCGTCCCCTAAGGTGGGCGCCCGGTGGCATTTGTACCTCACGCCCCCTTCGCTACGCCTCTCATCGGTACCCCAGATTACACAGCATACTTTTTAACAAGTTTTGAGAAACTTGATGTAAAGATTCCAATGTGTTCAAATACTAGTTACCCCAGATTACACAGCATACTTTTAACACGTTTTGAGAAATATGATGTAACGATTTCAATGTGTTCAAATACTCGGTACCCCAGATTAAACAGCATATTTCTAACACGTTTTGAGAAACTTGATGTCATGATTTCAATGTGTTCGAATACTCGGTACCCCGGATTACACAGCATACTTTTTAACACGTTTTGTTTTGTATGTGCCAGATATCACAGCATACATTTAACATTTTTAGAACCTTAACTTCATAAAATGATTTCAACGAGTCCAAAAACTAAGTAGGCCTACCCCAGATTATTCAGCATACATTTAACACGTTTTGGGCAATGTAATTTGATGTAATGATGTAAACACGTACCACAGCCAATACAGTGCGACTATAAGCTATTACGAGGAAACCGAGCTTGATTTTTTTTTGTCGCACTCGCTTGAATTACATTTTTTTATCCACCTGAAGACTCGCCTCCCCTGTACGCGGGACTACCGTTATTTGGGCGGGAAGGGCAGAGATAATTTGGTTTTCATTTCCGCTAGGATGCTTAATCGCTACCGACCTGAACCGAACAGGGTACGTGTTAACGTCCGAGACTGGCCCCACAATTATTCCCTGAGAACAGTATTTGCTAAAAAAAAAAGCCAGTCTTTTAAAAAATCCACTCGGCGAACTTGGACTTTTTCCCCTCATAAATTGCGGGATGTTTTGGTATTTTTTTTAAAGCAGCTCTGGGTGCGTGAGAGAAGTCAACTTTTCAAGCGTTATTTTAAACGTAATTTTTTAAACGTAATGCGTTTCATTGAAACAGTTTTAAATATTTATAGCTTTTTTTTATATAATACGCATTTAGAACACACGAGGATTAATTAACCCAAAAAGTATTCAGTATCTAAGCGTGCATGTCGAGAAGGCTTAAGAGAGTATATAAGAAATGCTTGGCTAATATTTCCAAGATCCTGACGTGATGTTTTCTTCCTGCTTACTTTAAGTTCCCTCTGTGGTTAATGACATTTTTTCTTCATATAGAAACAGGTAACTGAGTAACTGTGTTATCGTTTGTGAATTTTAGGAATAACCACAAACATCGAGACTAGCCACATAAATATTGAGTCTTGCCAAACTAACATCAAGTCTAGCCAAAAATCAAGTCAAGTCAAACCAACATTAAGTCTAGCCACACAAACATCGAGTCTAGCCATACAAACATCAAGTCTAGCCAAACATTGAGTCAAGCCA